GGACGGACTGAGATCAGGTTTCCCAATGAAGTTCACACAGAACGGCCTTGCTAGCCTTGAATAAGCAGATGCATTGTCATGAGCAAAACAATTCCTTGATGCGATTTTTCTCCACCACTTGTCTGGCAGTTTGTTGTACTGTGGTGACTTGTGTGCTGCTGTGACACTGGAAACGATGTCACTGGTATTTCAAATGCCAGCAGGGCCACCCAAGGTGAACAGGTTTCAGCAGAGCTGCCAGACTAAGAAGAGACAACGAAGAACGACTCAGCTCCCCATTTCGGGGGAAGGAGCCACTGAAAACCTTCTGCATAACCTTGAAACACTGTCAGATACCGAAGGCCTACTGAATGGAGCCGTACATTGTCCTCCGACCATGTTTTTTATTATTGCCGGAGGATGGGGTGGGCCAGAGGGCACTGGAAATGAAGTTGAGGAGTAGCTGATTTCTTGGAGTGCAGTCAATCATGCGGACATGAATTCATTAAAGCCTGTGGCAAATGGAGCCCTTGGGATCCCCATTTGCTATTGGGGTATGGCTCAAGAGACGGAGAACTAGATCCCCAAATCTTGTAATGGTCAGAACCTGGAATGGGCGAAGTATGAATCTAGGAAATTGGAAGTGTCAGAAAATGAATGGAACACATAGATGGGAATCCTACGCATTTGTAAGGTGAAATGGATCGGTGTTGCCCATTTTGAAGGAGAAAATCCTATGATTTATTATGCCAGGGATGACACCATCAAGAGTAATTGGGTGGTATTCATTGTCAAAAAAGACATTGCAAAATCAATCATAAAATACAATGCATCTATCTTCCTTCAAGGAAATCCAGTCAATACAACTATAATTCAAATGTATGCACCGACCACAAAAGCTAGTGATGGAGAAACTGAAGAATTCTACTAACAAATTTAGTAAGAAGTTGAGCAAACATGCAACCAAGATGCATTGCTAATTATTGGTGATTGGTAGGGAAAAGTTGGAAACAGAGGAACACTAGTCGGAAAATATGGACTTGGTGATAGACAGGAAGCTGGGGATGGTGTGATGGAGTTTTTCAAAACCAACGACTTGTCCGTAGCAAATACCTTTGTGTCAACAACACAAAAGGCAACTGTACACATGGACATCTTCAGATGGAAGACACAGAAATCAAATTGACTCCATCTGTGGGAAGAGATGATGGAGCAGCTCAATATCAGCAGCTAAAATCAGGCCAGGGGTTGACTATGGAATAGACAATTGTTGATATGTAAGTTCAGGATAAAGCTGAAGAAAATGAAAACAATTAGATGAGAGTCAAACTATGACCGTGAGTCTATGCCACCTGGATTGGAGAACAGCTCGAGATTTGATGCACTGAGCATGTCTGTGGGAGGGCACCAAGAACATCCTTCACGAGGAAAGCAGACGCTCATTAAAAAGATCAAGTAGTTGTCAGAAGAGACGCTGAAACTTCTTCTTCATTGTACAGTAGCAAAAGCAAATGTAAGAGAGCAAAGAGTTGAATAAAACATTTCAAAGGGCATCTCGAGAAGACAAAACCAAATATAATGAAATATGCAACGACGACCCACAACTAGAAAACCAAAATGGACGGAGGCACCCAGCATCTCCGAAACTGAAAGAACTCAAGGAAACATCCAAGCCTCAAGTTGCACACTTGAAAGCGTCTATGGGCAAAATAGTGAATGATGCGAGCAACATCAAGTGACGATGGAAAGCACACACAGTCACTGTACCAAAAATAACATTTCACCATTTCAAAAGTTAGCATATGAGGAAGAACCAGTGGTGCTGAAGGAAGAAGTTCAAGCTGCACCGAAAGCATTAGGCACAAAACAGGGCCCCAGGAATTGATGGAATGCCAATAGAAATGTTTCAACAAGCTGAAGAAGCACTGGAAGCACTCACTCGTCTATGTTAGGAAATCTGGAAGACAGGTACTTGACCAACAGACTGGAAGCGATCCAGATTTGTACCCTTCCAAAGAAAGGTGATCCAACAGA